GATAAGACTCAGATTTCATGTGCCACAAAACAAACAAGCGATATGGGGAGTCAGACATGGTCCTGCAGGTAAAAAATTTCAGGCAGACATAAATGACTGCTGAGCACCTGCTAAGAACAGATGGCTCCTGTCAGATCATGGCCATAGCACTGGCATAAGGGTGGCACGCAAAGCTGCCAGTCTCACCATGCCAGGTACCGTATCTATCCCCCAAGATACAGCCTACATCGCAAGATGCTGCTGAAAGACCAGACCTCTGAAATGGCTCAGTTCCAAACTGGGTGGGGAGATCTGGCCCCAGGTGTTTTAAGTGTTCCCTCTGGTCTTTAGCCCAAATAATAAGTTGGCCCTGTATCAAAGCCCCTTGCTCATTTCGGCATGAGTGAGTGTGGTATTGGTAAATTCCTGACATAACACTAACAGACTGCTCCACAAGACACCCTTTGCACATGTGGCCCGTTCCAGCTATGCAGACAGATGGCTTTGAGAGGGATCTAGGAAGTTAAGAGGAATTTGGCATTTGTGCTCATCATTGTTAGTTTCTCTACGGTTTTTTGTGGTTTTTTTTTTCCCCAGTAGCCAGACAAACTATTACAATCCATTGGAAGACCATGCAAGTCATCCTCCTGTACGATTATTTTGCAAGCAATGACTGTCGAAACAAGGCTAGAAAAATTACAGGCCTCATAACAAATTAAACTCAGAACGGAGTTTCCAGCTGTCTGGAACAGCTTCTTTGTTTTACACAACAGTTCCGTTAATGTTCCAGAGTCTATGATTATTTGAGCTCTCAACAACATCCTCGTATTTATTATTTCTCTCCAGGAATGTACAACCATGACCCTTTTTAGCAAAAAAGTCCAGTCATGTCAAAAGCTTCATGAAACTGTGTTTTTGGAAGCGATTCCTCTCCTGTCAATTCTAAAATAAAAATATTTTCCTGGTCTCTGTTTATTCATTATTGTTCCTTATCTTATTACAATAGGACATAGCTTTGTTGTTGTAGACCCATAGTTTACACCCAGTGCTCTGCACTTCCCAAAGGTCCATGAACTGTTTCTAAGGGATGCAAAAAAGGTATATTAAGATGACTGTTTTTTGCACAGGGGAACCACCTGAATCACTGGAGTAATGACAAGATGGCAATGGGAACTTTAGCTAGCGACTTCAGAAAAGATCTGGGATCCTCAGGCTTGTACTTATGTTGAAGTGTCTTAGCACCTACTCAGGATCTCCATGCAAAGGAGACTAAAGCAAGCCCCAGACTTGCTGATCCCTCTTGCAAGCAAACCTTGCTTTTCCCTATAGATGTGGCCCAGGGAAGTGGTTGAGTTGCCATCCCTGGAGGTATTTAAAAGATGTACAGATGTAGTGCTGAGGATTATGGTTTAGTGGTAACTTGGCAGTGCTGGGTTAATGGTTGGACTTGATGATTTGAAAGGTCTCTTCCAAGCAAAACGATTCTTTGTTCCCTAAAAGACTGTCTCTATCCTGAAGAATCAACAGATGAGCAAGACAGAAGGAATACCAATTATAGACACGGGAAATCTGGGAAATACACACAGAGAAATGACCCAGGTCAAGCAAGCAATGGCCAAGGTTTTTCAAAATGATGAATGCATGTGTCTCAAGACTGTTCATCTAAGGAACAGAGGACTAACGCCCTGCACAGCCATTTCATCAGTCCCCCTGCTCTGAGACAGCTTGCAGTTTCTGCACTGACTGCTACAAAGCAGTGCTATAGTAAGTTCCACAGGTCCCTACCCTGATGCCATCTGAACACCAAATCCCACTGTAGGAAACGGGCTTGCAGGCGTACAGCAATTCCTGAAAGCCAGGCCACGTGTTTCATGTCTCATTCAAGTAATCCCGGGGTTGAACATGACATTCTTGTCAGACTGCAGTGATGGCCCAGCTGAGGTCGGGGCCTCAAAGCAGCAAGCAGCACTCAGATGTTGAACAAGCAGCTGCAGGACCAGGCATTAACAGTCTAAACAGGGAAGATGACAAAGTTTAAGATGGGAAATAGAAGCACAGTTAATTCTGCACGGCCTGACAGCTGGGAAGCAGCAGAGCTTGCCTCAGATCTGCTGAGTTGTGGACCTGTTGAATAGGTCACAGTGCCTCCAGAGGCCTCACTGTACAGAGCTGCTTAAACTAAGACAGAGAGCCTTCCTGGTGCCTCTGGAGATGATCTTAACCCTGAATTATGAGGCAGTATGGCCCAGAGGCAATAAAGTGAGGCCGTGATAGATGCCTATAGAATACCCTAGACAGGACAGACACAAAGAGATTTGATTACCCTTATCTTTGCCTGCAGAACAATATATTCCAATTTAATGTAGAATAATTACATTTCCATTTTTTATCCTCTGGCCGCTTAAGACCTCAGAAAAAATAAAAAATAGCTTGTACATCTTGCTTTGTTAATTATTTCAGTAGACACTAATACAAGATCTTTCTATACCGTGACAGAAAGGATGACTGTGTTTTAAACCCTCTTTGGATCAGTCACCGGCTAAAACATTTCCACCTATCTCCATTGCCTCCGGTTGATGGGCACCCATTCCCATCAGCTCACGATATGATCCTTTGGTTGCTGAAACAGAGCACGGACCGTCCCGTATGTTGATTGTTACATGAATTGATAAATCTTGCAACTATTGTCAGCCTCAAGCTAAAGAAAAAGAAGCAGTAAGATTTCTAGCCTATTATAAGCTAATTTATGCAAGTTATAAATTCAAGAACCTATAAATGAGCATATTTTTCCTTTCCACTACAATTTAAATGCCTAACACATGGAAACAGTGTACAGTCTATCCAGGGAGAACCTATTTCAGATGTGTTATTAAGACAGAGGTTTGAAAATAGTGGGCCAAATTCAGTGGCAAAACTTCAGAAGACTTTTAACTTCTATCTCAAATTATTTCAACGCACTGTTTCCTTTTATGCCACTTCCTGCAACATTATTTTTCTTTACCTTTTTTTAATACATTGAGCTTTGATTATCATCATAAACACATTTCTATGAACTACACTGAAGTAAAGCCAGTTTTACCTGCTGAGGAGCTAACCATTGATTCAAGCTATAGATGCAGTCAGCTGGAAAACCATCAAAGCTAAAACACTCCTGCAATAAAGTGCCAATCCATAGCAAGACATCTCTAATAAAAGACTGCACTTACCCAAATGCTCACAACCCCTCACAACGCAATCCATTGGCATCAGTGTTATGTAAAGCTAATGAGAAACAACTCAAATGTTTTGCATTATCCCATTATTTCCCACCCTTAGTTAGCATTAATACGACAATCTTTAAAAATAGAACCAAAAGACGTACTTTTAAAAAAATGTGATTAATATTTTGTATGGGCTTCTGATTTTTTTTTACCATATTGTACTTACAGTTTTTTATTATACCAGTACCCTTCAATCATAAAATAATTCATCTTCAGAATTTATATATCACCTGTTTATACTTATGTCCTGAAGGACATCACCGCATCAAATTGTCCAAAATTAGTTCTGAAAATGTCCTGAATTGAAAAACCTTTGACTCACAAAGCTGAAAAGGTGTATACCCTTTACTCCTGAGATGCACTTCAGTTAGTCCAACAAGACTAATTAATCATGGAAACTTACTCAATTAGTAGGCACTTCAACATGGTTAAATCAAACCATAGGCATCTGTAGTGGCAAACTTGTGTTTGGGTTTGGCAAATCAAGTTAGAAGCAGCATGGAGCACATCCCACTCCTAATTAAAGGTTGGTGCATAGCACTTGTGAAAAGCAGGGCCTGCCTTTGCGATCTCACCGTAAACGGCAGTTGTTCACGCAGGTAAATATGGCTGGATGGAGCCCTCAGGTTACTGTGGTAGGAAGAAGCAGAGTAGGGTCTGATTTGGGGAGAATGAGCCCCCAATAACACTGAAAAGTTGGAGACAGTGGTGAACAAGCCCATATTACAAATTCCAGGCAGACTTCTGCCCTATATATGGACTCCATACCACTAGTAAAAATCTAGAGTCACATCCTAGGAA